AACAGTGTGCTCTGACTAATCATGCTTCCCTTATGCTTTGGTTACCAGGCCTCAGAGCCTAATTTATGGCCAGGCTGTAATGCATAATTGCAGTTTAACCTCTTAGAACAGAATTTCTTAAATTACATTTCCCCTGGTCCTGATTTTTATTTACTTATGATTTATATTACTTTTTTGTTATTGTATATTATCTAACATTTATTAGAGGCTAACTATGTGTCAGGAACTGGGCTAAATACTTTACATGGATTAGTTTACTGAATACTCTTATCAACCTCTTCTATAGCTCAAGAGTCCGAGGGCTTAGAGAGATTATGCATCTTGCCCAAAGACATAGAGTTTATAGGTAGGAAAGCTGGAATTCAAACCTAGATAGTATAATTCAAACCTAAGCACTTTACGGTTTCTAGATTATTGCACATTTTGGTAAGCCGCCTGAACTAACTTATAGACTGAGGTGGGCATAGAGAATGAGATGGGAATGTAAGTACATGATCAAAATACACTGATGTTTTTAGAGATGTGCCACAGATGGCAAGATGTCATCCTAGGAAGAGCTATCATATTGAAGGTTCAGCTTTTAAATTGGGTTTTCAAGTTTTCTTCAGATGTATATAAATTTTTGAGATAGAATTTCCCATATTATTCCAGAGATTTAAAAATTAGAAAACACCAACTATAGTAATGATACAGAGGACTGTAAAATCAAATAACAAGCATTTATAATATATCTTCCTATTGTATATCTCTGAATTCAAAAAGCATAAGCATGATCCTTGTGGTCAAGGGTTTAAACTAAGTTAGGAAATAAAACTAGTATTTGTAAAATAATTGGGGACTATTAAGTGCTAAACTAGAACTAAATGTGGGATGTGATTGCCAGAAAAGGATTTTTGGACCAGAAGACATTTCTAATGAAATCTAAATGGACAAAAGAAATTCTATTTTGAAGAAAATGTTTTATAAGAACATTCAGTAACTGTAAAACATGGGGTGGCAAAGAAAAAAATTGCTGTATTACAATTTATAAGACTATTCTGATTAAAAATTAATTTTAACAGTAACTAATGATTTTCGTATGCCAATTTATCAATTAAATGCTTAACGTAGGGCATTTGTTTACATTACATATCCATGTAGCAAGCTACTTGTGTTTCAAGGGTTAGGCCAGACAGAAAATTTCCAATATGAATGATAACAGATTGGAATCATGTCTAGAATTTCCACTGTCAGATAATGGCTGCATAATAATCCTCTTACAATTTCTTCATGCTCTTAGAGCAGAACATAAGAGAAGGAAAAACACGGTTCCTACTCAGCTGAATAGGCAAGCTAAATAAGACAGAGTAAGGATTCATAAATGCCAGCTCAAGCCCTCCTATTGGTGACATTAAAAAGCCATCTTTCATCAGAATCTCAACCCAGCTCCCACTGGTAGAATATCCTACAGACAGGCAGCTGACCCAGACCTCAGTCTTCCCTCAGTGTTGAAGCCATTCATTCAAGTGACTCTAAAGGACTTCTTTAGTTATAGCAGCCCCTGGGCTGGCTTTACTCTCCACAAATGCATTTTAATAGCAAGAATAATCTCAATCACATTCATCTCTGAGTTTTGCTAGGATTCACAACCAATATCCGCATAGGAAGGAGCATAACAAATGAATTGAGCTTGATTTTTATCCAATGTCTATATTCCTGGTTGCAATCATGAAGGTTTAAATGTTTTTTGTATAAAAGTAGAAGAGAAAATTTCTATGGGTTCTTTAAATGAAATCTCGAAAAATAAATATAAACTAGTTCCTCACCACCACCACCACCATCCAGCAATGCTTTTAGGCATTTAGACCCACCGTCTCTTTTTAAAATAAGTTGAAGAGTCCTTTTGGGCAAGAAATATGTCCTCTGCTACTTTATATGGTGCCATTCGTTGCCTTATAAATTGTAATAGAGCAATATTATTCTGTGCCACCCCATGTTTTACCATTACCAAAAGTTCTTATAAAACATTTTCTTCAAAATACAAATTATTTTGTCGACTTAGAATTTATTAGAAATGTCTTCTGGTTCAGGAATCCTTTTCTGACAACTGCATCACACACTTAGCTCTCACTTTTCTGAATTGTTCTCATTATGGACTGTGTTACTTAGTTTAGCACTTAATCACTCCACCATTAGTTACATGCCACTCAAAAAAGGAAGGGATGGGCACTAGAGACAGGGAATAGAGCACATCTCTTGTGTCCTCCCCTTCAGGTAGTACTAGTTCTCATGATCGTGTGGGAATGAAGAAGTGAAAGGATGAAGAGACAGACCTCACTTACATCTTTTTAAGAAGACCCTCTTGTGTGGGGCTGGTTGGGAATCAAAGAATGGACGTGCTGTTGCTTGTTCAGTGTCAAAGATCGTCAATGAGGGACAACATCCCACTTCCCAACCTTCCCCTTCCCAAGACTTTAGTAATCATCAGGTAAACATTTCCAGTCAAGAAATTAAGGAGTATCTATTGTGACAGTGGGCTTGTCCCATAATTAAATCATTCAGTTTTATTATAATCATTTCCTGCGACTACTTAGGATACAGTAAGTCTCCTTTAAGCACAGGGAATTTAAAGGCTTCTGGACAAGACTTGTAAAGGTAGAAGAATCCAGACTAGCAAAACAAACCTTTTTGGTCAGAAGTGTATCCTGTGACACAGGATTTATTCCACATGCATGATCCACTGTTTTCTGTGGGGTGGGCATGGGTCAAACAAAGGCAAGGGATTTTGTTTTTGTTGTACAGCCGAAATACTCAGCACTCACTTCTGTCAGGGAATGAAACCATCTCCTCTAACTTTTGAAACAAAGAGCTCTGTGGAAACTGGTCACAGAGCCCTCTGTTGGACTAGATGACTTTATTTACAGATCCTCTTTTTCGCATGCTTCAGATAAGTAACTAGCACAGGGGGAAATAAAATGAAACAGAAGTATGAATTGTAGCCTGCCACGGGAAGCAAAATTCCTGTTTAGATTCAGAACACGGCCAGCTCCCTAAATCCTAGGATAGATAATACGCCCTGAGGTGCATACAAGTATTATAAAAATATGTCCTGGGTTGGCAGCTTGAAAAGATAAATGCATTGAGCCCTAGCCACAGCACACCATTTATGTTCTCTGAAGATACCATTCTGTGTTCCTCTGTGCTTTGGCATATGACTCTTTCCTATGCCAGAATGCCCACACTTTTTAGACCACCTGCTGGATTCCTATCTGCCCTTCAAAATCCAGCTATGTGATTTCCTTACAGAATTTTTCAATAAAATTTCATCCTCCCACACCCTACTTCAAAAGCTAATTATTTCCTCCACCAAGCTCCTTGTCTGTTACCTAGTACATTTTTCTATGATTCCATCTAACACACTGTGTAGTAATTATATGTTTACACATCTGGCTTCCAGAACAGATGGTGAGACCTTGGGGCCTGAGTTAATTTTTCTTTATTACATTCCCAGCAACCAGCAAGCTGCCTGGCTCTGAGTAGCCATTTAATACATCTTTAATAAACTAACAGGAAAAAAAGAATTTTTAAATTCATAACAGCATTTATTTTCCCCTCTTATGTAATTCTTCTGTTGTTCCTTTAACCATTTCACGGATACTCTTTCTTGAGTCACCCAAACTGTCCTTTTCCATGTAATTCATATTAAATTAAAAGGAGAAAAGGATATATGCATATATTATTACAATATGCTTTCTTTTCTGTAGGCATACAAATCTTTATTTATAGAGTTTGCACACAGTGGCACACCAATAAATAAAGCAATTAAACCAGGCAAGGATAGAACAGTAACTAAAGGTAAGAAATCCTAAGAATTGTGTTGCATAGACCTTGTTATTGCACGATTCCTTCCTGCAGTTCATGTTTAGTACTTTGTTATTCTTAAATAACACAATGCTGAGATGTGTGCTTCACCTCAAGACCCTTCCAGAGTTCTAATTACTACAAACAATAATTTCTTATTATAAGAAAAATTTCCATTTTCTGTATTTTTGTAAACAAAATCTCCTTTCACCTATTACACCATTGCATGAGACCTAAGAAAAGCACCTTTAAAGTGTGCATACATTTGAATTTTATAATTATAAGGTAAATATAAATTATATCCCCTTTCATTTAGGATAAGTTCTTTTTTTCATTGTCACTACTGGATTTGGTTAAGGAGCTTGCATTTTGTACACTCTGTTTAGATGGGTAATTGTGAATCTTATCCTAAAAGATTGAAATCTTCAATCTTTCATCATGACAAGAAATTAATTATGTTGATTATACTTCATTTGGATCCTTAGGATTAGGGAAAATAACAATGGCAATCTATAAAGCTAATGAAATTGTATATAATCACAGACTGTTTAGTATAATTAATCATTTAGAAGCCTGATGGCTTACATGACAGGAGTCTCCTAGAAATTTTTTCAGAGTTATATCTCGATGGGAAACAGTACACTGAAGCAAAGAAAGGAACTCAAGTCAGGATATTTGAGTAAAGTTTAAAAGGTTCATGGGAAAACAATAGTGTGACTATAAAGCTTTAATTATAAATCACCAGATGTGATAAAAGTAACTGATAAAATAATTATGGCAACAGTCTTTTTAAAATGAGTTTAGCTAACCTACAAAAATAAAAACACCAAGACCTTTAAAAGATAAGTTCTTTTATATTTAAATACTACATTTAGATGTCTAACAATTGCACATAGTTTATTTTAGAGTTCCTCTTTCTTTATTTAATCACAAGGGTGTGGGTCATATCCAGCTTTGTTTGGCTCAACATAGAACAGCTCTCAGGGTAACTGAGGAACCAGCCCCCCTGACGTCATTTCTCCCTTAACACAACCACTTCAATCATATAAAAAAGAAGCTCCACCCTTCCTTTGTAGAATCAATGCTGAAGGGCACTGGGCTTTTTTTATACAGTCATAACTCAGGTAGAGAAGTAATTCTAATTCCAGCTGTTTACTCACCTTGAAGAACTTCCATGGGGAGAACAGTCCAGGCATTTTCCAGGTAGGAAATATAAATATAGCGAGCTGTATTACAGGCCAGGCCAATGTATAGAACCCTATTAAAAAAAAAAAAAAAAAGGAAAATAAAGTGAGGCCCCAGAATGAAATACAAAGCTTGCAAATATTACCTACTTTTTACCCTCCCCAAACCATCCACCATCCAGCACGCAGTGTTCCAAACTTAGGAGCAGGACAATTAAATTTAACCATGAATTTAGAAGATAAGAAGATAAGAAGAAGATTGCTTCTCACATATCTGCTCTCAGCCTTTCCAAAATGCTTGTTAATAGAAAAACGAACATCACCCTTCCTGAAACTTAATTAGTAGCAGAGATGATGCTTTTCTAAGATAATCTGGGCACACTGCCATCTGTAATGGCATTACTGGCTTCCTTCCAGGTGGCTGTAGGATAAATATGCCTGGGATTGTAGCCACTGTACTATGATGGGGGAGGACAGGATAAAAATGAGAACGTTACTGTGAATGTGGCCTTGCTTACAATACCCAAGACACCAAGCAGTTTCACAAGGAGAATCTCTAGGTCATTGAAAACTATCATCCAATAATTAATAATAAACTACAGGTGGTCCCCAATTTACAAGGGTTCAACTTCAGGATTTTTCATTCAGTAGAAACCACACTTCAAGTACCTGTACAACCATTCTGTTTTTCACTTTCAGTACAGTGTTCAATAAATTACATGAGATGTACAACACTTTCTTATAAAATAGGGTTTGTGTTAGATTATTTTTGTCCAACTGTAGACTAATGTAAGTGTTCTGAGCATGTTTAAGGTAGGCTAGGTGAAGCTATGATGTTTGGTAGGTTAGATATATTAAGTGCATTTTTGACTTATGATATTTTCAATTTATAATGGGTTTATTGGGACATAACCCCATCATAAATTGAGGAGCATCTGTATTTGGAAATCAAATACTTTTTCCTATCAGTTCAACAGATACATGTTCATTATTTCTAAAAAGGTCCATAGGATCATATGCTTACAAAACCAGCAAATACGTATCAACCTCTTGCTTCCTCCCGCCCCCACCATCAAAATATAAGTAAACACAAAATAAGCAGAGGCCTAAAGTGGTGCGCCCAAGCATAAGATTAGGATCATTACTGTGAACTGGACAGGCTGGTTTGGAAGGAAATAATGGCTGCTCTTCTGTACAAAACACAGCCTGATGTTAGGGATTTATCTTTCTCAGTTGTTTTCCATTTTCTGTTAACTTTCCTAACCTTAATGTCTTTTTGCTTTCTGAATCCAAGTGGATGCAAGTAGAAGGTAAAAGAAGTAAACCAACATGACAATCAGTGGTATTTTCCTAATCTTGCTTAACTATATTTTTCTATTAAAATCATTCCTATAAATACCATTCCCTTTCCCTTTTTCCCAACACTGAATCAAGGAAAGGAAATGCTCTTAGGCACCCAGCTGTCAATCATAAATATGGAACAGAAGGATGGGGAAAAGACAAAAAAAGGGGGGCAGGGGTGAGGGAGTGAAGATGCAATAGGAAATGGATGTCAGAAGGGACTTAGGAGTCAGTCAGTTATTAAAGCTCTCTGGGCCATCTTGTTCTATAGACTCTTTTAATGACTCTATTATGTTCTTTGTTTCAATCCTGTTTGATAAAAATTTTGCTGAAAAAACTTGCTACACACAGGTATTGACATTCAAGGCTGTACCCCAGAAATATGTACAATCAATTATGTAAAAGTAAACTTAAGAAAAAAGAAAAAAACTTGCTACAGATCTATCAATCTCCCTCTGCTAAGAGAGGAAAAAAAAAAAACCCATGGGGAATTAAAATGCAACACACAAGTTACACAAACCTATGCCTCCTTTTTAAGTTCTAAACCAGCTCTGTGGATGATCTCTAATTAGCCTAACTCAGGGGTCAGAAAATATTTTACTATAAAAGGCAATATGGTAAATAGGCTTCGTGGGCCACATGGCCTCTATTACAACTTCTCAACTCACTTTGTAGCATGAAAGCAGCCACAGACAATATGTAAATGAATCAGCATGACTGTGTTCTAATAAAATTCAAATTATGAACATTGAAATTTAAATTTTGTATAATTTTCATGTGTCACAAAATATTATTATTCTTGTGATTTTTTTTCAACCATTAAAAATTGTAGAAATAATTCTTAGTTCATGGACCATACAAAAACAGGCAGTGGGCCAGATTTGACCAGTCGGCCATAGCTTGCCAACCGCTGGCCTTGCTCATTAATTTTTAACCTTGGGTGTGTATCAGATTTACTCTGGTAACTGTTTAAAATTACAGATGTCAAGGCCCACACCCATCTCAATAAAGATCTTTATGGGCAAAACTCAGGTGTTGTGCTTTTGAAAGCTCCCTGGGTTATTCTGATACTGAGTGAGGGTGGAGAACCACTGATCTAGTTTATTCCAAGTTGTCCCAGTAATACTTTCCTATAATCCCATAATAAAACAAATTTGGTAATCTACCTTCCTAGCATTCATATTGCCTATCCTGAAGCTTTCTTTTGAGCCCACCTCTGAATGAAGGTTGTCATGACAACCATTATTCAATCAATGCCATAGTCCAAAGCTCCTGGCCTAAAGTAACCCACAGTCAATCGACCCAGTTTAAGAGGTAGATTGTGCTATGCCTTCAGACATCTACGTGTGTGGAACTTAGTCACTGGAGTTACTGGTCCATAGCTCTGGGACCCTTTGTTCTCAGACTGCCACCAAAAAGCTGAGTGGCTATGAACTTCATGCATCCTTCACTTCTTTCCTACGTTCTAATCTCACAACTGACAGTCCTTTAGAACCAAACAGGTGCCCTAAAAAAGAAATAGAAAAATAAAAAGTGTCCAGGGCAAGTTACTTCATCTCTCTGAGACTCAGTTTCCTTATATATCAAGTAGGGACAATAACATCTACTTTGCAGGTTTGCTGTGCAAGTTACACCCCAGTGACACACCCCCCAAAAAGCATTCAATAAATGTTCCATTATCATCATAATCGTTATTGCTATTATTATTAGGTTAAAGGAAAGTATTCAAGTACGCTTTTGTTTCCTGACAAAATTTTTATCCCAGAATTCCAAAAGAGAGCAGCACTGATATTCCTTCCTCACCAGCCATTCTGGGGAGGCCCGTGACTTCAAGAGATCAGCAAGAGTAAAATTATGACCAGAAAGGCAAGCAGCATTTGGAGCTATGGAAAGGCAAAGAAGGAAACATATATTTATTGAAAAGTCACTGAAAAGCATTTCAGCAATCTAGGAATATCTTTAATATCTGAGTGGGATATTTCAATCGCTATATTATTCACTGTTATGAGCTGAATTGTGTCTCTCCCCACCTGCCCCCAAATTCATATGTTGAACCCCCAGTCTCTTAGAATGTGACTGTATTTGGAGATAGAGCCTTTGAACAGGTAATTAAGGTAAAATAAGGTTGTATGGGTGGGTCCTAATCCAATATGACTGGTATCTTTATCAGAGATTAGGACATGGGGGCGGGGTGGGTACACCAGGTGAAGACAAGCCAAGGAGAGAGGCCTTCGGAAGAAACCCTTATGACACCTTGATCTTGGACTTTTAGCATCCAAAATTGTGAGGAAAGAAATTTGTCTTTTAAGCCACCCAGTCTGCAGTACTTTGTTATGGTAGCCCTAGCAAACTAATACATTTACTCTCATGAAATTAAGGATTTGCTGATAAAAAGGAATTTATAATATGTTTTACTAGATCATCCTCTGGACAACCAGATTCTTCCTTATACTGAATATAAAGCACATGTGCAGGGTCCTAGAATTTCCTGGGCACTGAGGTCTGGAAATAGAGAATAGTCTGAAAAATGCCTCTCAGTGAGATAACAGATACCTACTGCTGAATATAAAGCACATGTGCAGGGTCCTAGAATTTCCTGGGCATTGAGGTCTGGAAATAGAGAATAGTCTGAAAAATGCCTCTCAGTGAGATAACAGATACCTACTGAACACCTATAATAATAAAGCTAAGAAACATCACCTTCCTACTTCCTAACAGGATGTCAATAAATAATAAAAGCAGGCAAGAGACAAAGGTAATTTTAGAACAGGTGGCTGGTATAAGTGAAGTTATCTATGAAGAGGAGCACAACTGGTAAGGAGCAAACGATTTAGCTGAAAACACTACACCATGGAAAACTCAAATCACTTGTCAAACACCCTGATTCTGTATTTGAGCAAAATGCAGGAGTAGGAGAAAATATGGTCATGACATTCTAATTTCTTACAGAACCACAATTCACAGTATTAGCAGTTTAAGTTGATTGGTGGTTATAATAAAACAGCAATTTTTTTCAACAGTGTTCACGATGTAGATACAATTAATGACTAGTTCTGCAATTCCTAACAGAGTGTACATTAGTTACGATGCCCTACTTTTCTCAATTTAACCAACTATAATATGGCTGAGTGCCCCCCAAGAGACACTCAAAAGCACAATGAACATGAATTTTGCTCAATAAGCATTTATTGAGATACGACCATGTACCATACACTGTGCTGGGCTCAAGGAGAATAAAAATGAAGAAGAAATCCTCCTTGCTTTCAAGGAACTTTCAGCCTAGTGGGGAGACAAACACATAAACATGTAAGTTAAATAATACTCTAACAGAAACATACAAAGTACTATGGGAGCACACAGGAGAGGCCCTTAGCTAACCCTAGGAGTTCAGGGACACCTGGGTTAGTAGTAGTTGGACGAAGAAGGCAGAAGAGCATCACAGGCAGAGGGAACAAAATGAGCAAGGAAGGCTTCACTAACCACAGAAAGGCAAGCATCTGTGGCCAGATAAGGTGCGTGAAAGATACAAGAAGGATCATAGTCTAAGGAATTATGAAGAGATAAATGAGATTTTTCAGTCCAGATCCAATGTGGAAATTATTCCAGAGACAACACAGACCTAAGCAAAGAAAGACCTAAGCAGGATTATCCTACAATGCTCAAATCGGAGAGACAAAAGAGCAACACCACAGAGAGCCCTATGGGCAGCAAATATTTTGCAAAAGTCTCTGTT